TAATCTTTTCACCACTTTAAATTTTTCTCTTCTCCTCTTTGTTGGATGATGAAGATGACAATAAAGATGAAGAATTATTTGAAGGTTTGCATTTCTTTTCTTTTTCTCTTTTATTGCTTATTAGTTTAGATTTATTTCTATGCTTGTAGTTAGATTTTATTTTCTTATTAAATAGCCAAGAGGCTAGAACCCTCTTGCCTTAGATTTATTTTATGCTTATAGAGTAGATTTATTTTCATGTATTTAATTCTTGCAATTTTATTTTGTAGTTTAGATTTTTATAATTTATTTTGTAGTTAGATTTTAAGTTCTTACACTATTCACCTTGAGGCTAGAACCCTCTTGGGTTTAGTTTTTCTTTTTGTTTATTTTATTTTGTTTGATTCGCCTTTAGGCTAGAACCCTCTAGGGAATCACCCTTTTCTAAGAAGTGGGTTCAATTTTAGATTATCCATATCTATAATTGAATCCACCATCTTTAATTTCTTGCATTTTCTTTTATTCTAGAATTTTGTTCTTCATTATTGATTTTTATTTGTTTCTTGATTTTATTCATTTTTTTCCACTCTCACTTACATTTGCACCTATTTACACATCATTTTTCACTATCTCAATCTCTTCACAATCACATTCACTCATCAATCTTATTTGTCACGCACACAACATAAGAACCGATTTTATATTTTCTCCTACAAAACACCTTCCTCGTGGGATAGATATCTTAAATACTATAACTTGACACGGTTATGCACTTGCAATCTTTTTGGTACATGTTTATGCCGCATCATGACCCCCCACCCCACCCTTTTTTTGGCAAAAAATTCAAGTAGATCTAATAGAAAAAGCGATCTTATGTGTAAAAGTAAAGAAGACATGATATTATATTCACCACATAGTAGATCTAATAGAAAAAGCGATCTTATGTGTAAAAGTAAAGAAGACATGATATTATATTCACCACATAAGCTATGAAATCAACTAATCCCACTTTAAAAGAGTTCAGACATTTCACCATACAATTGGTTCACAAACGTAATTACTTTATCCTTATTCAAAGAAACGGTAAATTAGAAAATAATTATATGAGGCCTTCAAATTTGTAACAACATCGAACAAACAATACCGAGAGAGATCAGAAACTCTAGAGAGAGAGAGAGAAAGAGGAGTGTACCTAGATCAGAGAGAGAAAGGGTCCACTTGTAGAATTTTGGGCGTGAGAGGAGAGAAAATTGGTGATGAGAGCGAGAATCCATAGTAAGAGAGAATTTGGGGAGGGGGACAATGAAAGAGAAGAGCTTCTGCTTTCTGCAAGTTTTTGCTTCTTTCTGGTGGTATGACTTTTGGAGAATTTTTCCTTCACTAGGGTCGATTTATAAGGATCATATTAGGGAGCCACTTGAAATCCCAAACCCATTTAGCATATCCTCAGACCCAAATCCAAAATTGTTCCGGAACTCACAATTCTTGGGTTATTTGTTTGATTTTCATTCATGAGGTACACAAATTAATTTGGATCTTTTGCAATGATATTCAGAAGCGCAAAACAAATCCATATTCATATATATATGTATTTGTATTCATTAAGATAACGGATACGGATATGGATACGAATACAATTACTAAATAACTACATCTAATAGCAAATATCAATATCCAAAATATCTGAATATATGTTGATCATATAACAAAACAATTCTTTTAATCCCTAAGTTAATGGATTTGAGGTTAATTTTGATGATCAAGAGATCTAATTGATCTTAGATTTTCAGATATAATGAACATATATTAATGAATTTTATTGTATCATATGTGCTATTTTTTCAACATAATGTGTTTTTTCTCTTGTATGTTTTGTATCCACGTATATATTTGCATGCATATTTGTATCCATGTCTGATTTTTACAGATATGGATATGAGTTTTCATTACCGAGAGATATCTGTATTTATGTCTATATTTGTGACTTGTGAGGTTTTTGTATCTTTATTATGATTGATAAATAGACAAGAATATAATAAGTATCATATATGATCCGTATCTAACTCGTTTGACTGCATGTGACAATACATAAAATTCAAATATTTCTAAACCTCTATGTAGACTTCCTGCAATATAAATTTTAGGAAGGTACATTTACCAGTTAAGGAACAAAAACTCACTACTTTTAAAACCATAATGTAACTTTTTTTCTTAAAATGTTGGGCTTTCTCTCTTGGAAACAACCTAAAATTGGTTTGTTATAAACCACTTTTCAATTTCAATCTATACATAAATCACCTTTAAAGTGGATTTTTATTACAAATCAACCACCTCACAGTTAAAATTTTTACTAAAAATACAAAAGTATTCTTAAAAAACTCACAGTCAAGGCATATAAAAAAATTATTGTTTATGTTTTATTAGGATACAACTCACATTTTTAAGCTTATTTTTTTATTTTTTTAGTAAAGTTTAACTTGAAGGTGGTTGGTCACAACAAAAATTTAATTTAAAAATGGTTTATATATAAATTAAAGTTGAAAGTTGATTTCTATATAATTACTCTATTTCTAAGTTGGGTTCAAGGGGAAAAACCCCTAAAAGTTTTGCAAACACATCTTAGGGCTTGTAATTGCAGTTATAATTATTTATTTTATTGCAACTAGATGTTACAGTTACAACTACAGTTACAAATACCCTTTCATTTGACTTATGCAATTTTGAGCATAAGTCTCATTTGCAACCTAGGTGCAACCAACCCAAATTAGTAAAAATAAAATAAAATCTCAAAATCACTATTTAAACTTTCAAAAAATCTAAGAACTTTATTAATGATTAAAATAAGTTTATAAATATTATTTTTTTACTATTTAAGAAAATTATTTTTTGAAAATTATGCTTTTTGAAAATTTACATTTAGAACGCTAAATTACTATATTGGTTTTTTTCTTCACCTATTTTACCAGTTTGGTATTTCTTCTTGCTTCGGCATCATTTTGGTATATTTTCTTGATCCATTGTCAAGTAGACCAAAAAATTAGTTGCCAACCAAAAAACCATGATGTTGATGTGGAATGTAATAATTTTATTAATTAGGTTAGTTGAAGCATGTGAAAAGCACGTGCTCCTCTTCCTCATAGTTTTATTCATAATTTGGACTAGAAATTTGGTTAGGACTTAAATCAAAGTTTTTCTCCTTCGATTTTACCCTTGTCTTCTTCAAATTTCTTAAATATACAACATATCCATTTCAAGTTTAATTAAGCTCAAATTCAAAATGTGGTGGATCGAATCAAAGAAACGGTAGTGGGTTCAACGTTGTTCTCTTTCCTCTTCATTTTTCCTACCACCATTTCTTTAATTAAATCCACATTTCCTTAGCTTGAACCTGAAGAGATCAATGCTGAATATTTAAGAAATTGAAGAAGATGAAGGTGAACTTGAAAGGGAGAAGTAAGTCCTAACCTAATTTTTGGCCACAATGCATGAAATTAAGAGGGTGAGGAGCACATGCTTCTCATGTGCTACAACTAACCGTAGTTACCAAAATAACTACCCTGTAGTGTACTATATGTTAGCGATTTTTAATTTTTTTTCTCACCGGTGACCAATTTTTTGGTCTATTTGGACAATGGGGCGAAGAAAAAAAAACCAAAATGAAAGCAAGAAACAAATAACAAAGTAGTAAAAGGGATTAAGAAAAATGTCAATCTGGTAATTTAGCAATTCTTAGATAACATTATAATCATTATTGAAAATTTTATTTTTTGACAAAAAATGATTTTTTGGAAAAAATATAATTTTGAAAAATAATATTATTTTTTAGAAAAACTATTATTTTTTAGAGTAATATTATTTTTATATAGAAATATTTTCTTAAGAAAAATTATTTTTAAAATAAATATTATTTTCTAAAAAATAAGTTAAAATATAATTATTTTTTAGAAAATGTTATTTTTCTAAGAGTATTATTATTTTTAAAAAATAATCTTTTGAATTATATATTTTTAAAGTAAAAAAGCATTATTTTTTTTATAAAAGGATTACCTTAAATATATAAAGTGAGCTAATAATTTTTTTCAATTTTTCAAAAGTGAAAAACAAGTTGCATATGAAAAGTTAAAAGCAATACCAAACAAATTGCAGCTACAAGTTGTGCAATTTTTTAAATTGTACCAAACAATTGCAACTGCAATTGCATGTTAAGAATAGACGCAATGTCCCAGTCGCATGCAAGGTGGTGATTGCATTGTGATTACAGTTGTAATCTACCAAATGCACCCTTGATATCTCTTTGAAAATTGCAAGTGTTTATGATGATTTTGGTGTGTGATATTATTGTCCTCGTTTTTGAGGTAAATTACAAAAACTACCTTAGCAAACTAATGAACATAGGGTTTTTCTAACGCGTGTTCTTACATAGTCATTAAAGGCTAAGAGACACAGAGATGAGAAGTAAGGAGAAAATTAGTGCAAATAAAAGGCCCACTTGCTATTCATTTCTCTCTATTTCTTTAATCCCCATAAACACCATTTTAGAAAATGATTAACATACAATCCAGTATCTACTGTATTTATTTAAGTACCATACGCAAGCAGTCTTATCTAAGATATGATCCCCCCCCCCCCCCCCCCCTAATCCAGGGTGATGTATATAAAGTTGTGAGATATCCACATTACCATTTAGGAGGTTTTTTGGTATAATCTCCTTGAGCTTTGTTTGTTTATCTCTCACATAATTCCGCTAAACTCTGGGGTTTTAATTTTCACAAGTTGTTCATATGGAAGACATTACCATTCAGATCATATGTTTGTAAGCTCTACTTTTCACAATGACAATTTATATTTATTTCTCCCTGATTTTATTAAGATGACACTCTATAATTTTTATTTTATTTTTATTTTTTTCCCCTCCAAAACTTAGCTCCGGCTACTCACCTGCAACTGCAAATGCCTACAATGAGCTCCAAGACACTGGTCATCAATTATTTCCACAGTCAAAAAATTCAGAGCTCAGCCAATACCATGCACCAACATAACTTTATTTTGACCCAAAGTATCAAAACAATTCAAACCGTTACAGCTACCAAGGATCATCCCAGAACATGACTAATACGAGAGACGAACTTTATCGAATACCAGTAATGCTACAACTTATATTATCACCACCATCTTCAATCCGTCTTATCGGCGTTCACCCTCTCGGCGATCGCAGCCTCCGCCTCCGCCACCTCCTTCTCAGTCTTCTTCCCTTTCTTGCACTTATAATACACATCCATAAACGTCCCTATGGCGCCGTACTTCTTGCGGCAGTACTCGTAGTGGGCGCCGTCAAACATCCGCCAGAAATTCTTCTCGGATAGCTCCGACCACAGGAGTACTGAGGCTTGGACCGTGGGTCCGGATCAGCCAGTCCTCGAGTGCGGTGACTGGCTCGGACCCGTCGAAGACCTCGCCTCGGAGCACGGGCCCAGGGGCATAGTAGACGCCGATGTCAGAGTACATTTGCGCGAAGCTCGTGTCGCCTTGTGTTTGGTTTTGCTCGAAGCCTGGTTCGGGGTTGATCATTGTTTTGATTGGGTATTTGAATAGACGGTGTGGACATAGCCAGATTGGGTACACCTGCAGTTGAAAGAAAGAGTTCAGTTTTTGCCCCACCCAAAAAAAAGGGGATATTGTAGAGTTCTTAGTTCTGTATAAATTAAAGAAATCCTCTTTATACTATGTTACCGTCCTCTTATCAATGCTGAAACTAGTAATACTGTTGTAGCGGAGTTTGGTTCTTCAGACATATAGACGAAAATCCTCTGCACAGAATTTTAGTTAATAATAAAAACATGCTTATTTTTACTTTGGTATCTATCCCAGAGCTGAGTCATATTTTCACTTTGCTTCCCTGATTATATTTTTTAACGCTTTGATATCCAAATTTTCTGTCCCATTCCACTTTGGCACGAGGTCCAAATTTTGTTAGATTTTCTACTAAATTTACATCACATGCTTAACAGGTGATATCCGTGTTCGAGTAGCTATTGGAAACAATTGGTTGTTCCGATTCATTTCTACAGGGCAATATAGGCCTAAATATAATACAAGTTTAATAGGAAATTTAACTAAATGCGGAAAAGGGTACCAAAGTGAAAACTAAATCTTCGCGCTCTATCTTTCTAAGTGAATTCTTGAATCTTGAAGTTTAGCGTGAACGTCCAATTAAACAAAGTTTGAATAACAAAAACTGCATAACAAATTGTAAATTAATTAAGGTGTTTGTTTTAATTTAAAATTTACCTCCATTTCTTGGTGAAGGAACTCCAGCGCATCAGCGACCTTATGCTGCGGCAGCAACATATCCTGAATAACATGCATATCATGATAGTACTGCCTGATCGCCTCCCCCTGCGTCATCTTCAACAGCGATATCTTCGGGGGCATCGTCCACCCCATCAGCCACCGGAACCACCACTGATCCCCAAACGGCAATATGAGCTTCATCTCCCAAAACAACGTCCTTGTGTGCCGATGATAGTACTCTCTCGTCGGAATATACTCCACAAATTCCCCTCTCTTCAACGCCGTCTGCGCGTGCTGGTAGAACCAAGGCTTAAACCACCATCCAATGCTATTAATCACATTCCCTCTTTGGTTCGCCTCGTCTTTCGACGCGTACCTACCCGTCATGAACACACCCTCCGTTGGCGTGTAGATCAAAGATTCAACGAAGTCGGGCACTTTCTTCGGGTCTCCGTCTCTTGGAGCGAAGGAGTCCGTGTATGCCTGAGCGAGCTCCCGAAGACTCCCCCTCGCTGGAGTGTATGTCAATCTCATGTACTCCTTGATCGGAATCAGCTTAATCTCCGCCGACAATAAAAATCCTAGGGTTCCCTGCGACCAAGGAATCGCGTAGAAAAGGTCGGAGTACTCGTTGTCCTTAGTTGCACGAACGACTCTCCCATCGGCCAGGACAATCTCCAACGACACCAGAGTATCCTGAAACAGGCCGTATATATGCGAGCTCCCTTCAATACCGTAACCATTAATCAACCCCCCCACTGTCAAGTCATCGAGCTCAGACACGACGGGAATCGCAAGATTCATCGGTACAGTCACCCGACTAAGCTGTCCCATTTTAACAAGTGGCTCAACACGGACGACCATTCGATCAGAGTCGACTTCGAGAATATTGTAGAACTCGGAGAGGTCGACCTCGAAATGGCGAGCGCGCTTGTAATCGACATTGCGCATGCCGACAACAATGTAAGGCTTGCGGGCAGTGCAGACGAGGCCATCTTTTGCGGGGTTGCGCTGTTTGAGTCGAGGGACGACTTTTCGGACGTTCTCTTCGTGTTCTTGCTGGCGTTGCTTGTAGGGTTTGAGCTCCGCGTGGACGTCAAAGAGGTAGGCGATGAAGGCGATGATGGCGGAGATGGGGAGGACGACGAAGACGATGATGATCCACCGGAATTCGACGAGGTAGTCTACCCAGATCTTCTTGCGTTTTGGGCGGGGAGGGGACTGAAGGTCCGGCGTCGACATGGCTGAGCTCTGTGGATAAGGGAAATTATAGGAATGATCACTACTTCTTGATGAGGTTCACAGGAAATTTCTCTGTTCTAAAACAAAAGTAAATCTTATTTGAATATAAGAAATAAAAAAATAAAGTTTTTTTATGTGTGCTGTTTTTTCGCTTTTCACATCAAAAATTATATAAATGAATCTACATAAAGGAAAAGCCACACATGCAATGATATTATCATGCATTTGATGTGGCTCCATATATTCCGAATATTCATGAATCTTTCGTGGCTCCCAAGCATAGTCGAAAGCTTGAAATAAGTCAACTATATTTATTGTTTAAGAATTTTGGTCTCTATGTATTTGAGTAATAGGAGCTCAAATTTACAACCACAACTGTCTACTAATATTAAATGTTCTGATTCATTTTGAGTCTAACAATTATTACAGTTCTAGCCATTTGCATTTTTTTTCACTTTTGCAATACCAATAGCGAACATTTAAATATTTATATATAGACAACTAGAATTGAAAAAAAATACTCTTCATTGTCGAAATAGAAGAGGAATATATTTCCCTTCCTTTTTTAAAATAAAACTTCTATACGTAGATGAAATACTGGAAGTACATTGGCTATAGGGGCATATGCTTTCAGTGAACTAAAAGCCATCAGTGAGCTCAAGCCCAAATCCAGGGTGCGTGGCCTCAACAGAAAACTTAAGGGGGGGAAATGATTAGGACTCAATAAAGGCCCTCTTTTTGTATAAAATCCGAGGACGGTCCGCTTTGCTGAAATATTGCAGTAGCAAATGTGGCATGCAGTATTTTTTTTTTTGCAGAAAATCAACTTCAAATCCACAATATTGACATTTGAAATTTTATTATCAAAAATATATCTTGAATACATATATTGATAAGTATCTGGTTAAGGGAAATTGTTGCAAGAACTATAGCCATGTTTGATTTAAGGACTTAGTTTTATCTCGGGACTAATTTAACTCACTATAGCCGCCCTGGTATATAATAATCCAGTAGACTATTGAGTTAAATTTTTAATAATTTATTTGGATCCATTTGTTATTAACATCTCCAATACTAATGGCATGTTTGGAACTTGTCATTGAAAAGGTGCATAGGATTATGAAATGACAGGAAATGTCAAAAATATCCATCTTTCAATCAAGAGTGAATTATAGCTTCTTAATGGTGTAATGAGTAAAGTAAACTCGAGTTTGGACTGTCTTTCTTCTCAATTATGTTAGATATAATTTATGATTAGTATTATAGTGAACTGATAGTTTTTCTATATTTATTTTTTGAGATAGATTTCTTTTTAAATGCAAATAGTTTTTTCAATATTGTGTTCTCACATACATTTGGAAGAAATGATGAGAGAGGATTCAGAGAGATGCATGAGAGGATTAAGAAAATGGAGAGAGAGAGAGAGAGAGAGAGAGAGAGAGAGAGAGGGAGAGAGAGAGAGAGATGACCGGCGCTAGGAGAAACAAACGATATAAAAAGAACGTGGATGAAAGAGAAATAAAGGCTATAAAAAGAACGTGGGTGAAAGAAATAAATAAAACCCCAGGTAAAAAAAAATTTGTTTGAAAAGTTAAGGATTAATGTGGTCATTTTAGATCTAATCCCAATAGAATAATAATACCAAGACTATAATAACACCTTGTCACTCTCCTGTATTAAGTCCACATCTTGGACTATTTCAATTTAAAGGACTAATTAGTCCAACCTAATCCCTCCTTAAATTTTTAGCCAAGCACCTTACTACTATTCCTTTCTAAAGAACAAAAGGATTATTACCTCAAAATTATATCCAATCCAAATACAAGATAGGGAAACACGAGCATTTATATTCTTTTTCCTATTTGAAATATGAAAGTTTTTTTTTATGGTATGGAATTATTAATGTTTTTATTTTTTTTTAGTTTCTTGTTTGGACGCTGCAACTTTTGCTTTCACCAAATTGACCACAACATATTACATGTTTTTTCTATGGATTGTAAGTCCATTTGTTTTTTTAAACAAATTAAAGAAATTAAATATAGATCTAATTTCCGCAATATGTACTTCTGCATATCAATTTCATAATTCAAATAGAAAAAAAAAATTCAAGGAACAACAATAGAATAGTGGCACATACTCATCCAATAAGACAACGACTACCCGAGGGGTTAACGTAGAATCGTGCAATGCAAAAAAATGAGATAACTCAAACATATAAAAACCACAAAAAGGATTATTTATTTTTTCTAGAAAAGATAAATAAAAAGAATAAACACTTAATAAATTAAACTGGTTGCTAATTCACCTTTCTTAAGACGACTGGGTAAACTGTCCAATTATTTACACGGAATAATAATCTCCCAAACAAAATAATCTAACTCTTAAGCCTGTGTAGTTTTCTCATCAGTAACGTTGTGGTACACATCAGTAAAATTTTATAGTTATCGACCCCGTAAGTTTCTGTGCAAGTTAATAAATTAATGTTAACAAAGTAACGAAGCAAAGAGTAGGCTAATTGCCATGAATTTTTGCCCCCCTAATTAAAGACTATAAGATCTATTTTTACTGAAGAACAGATGTGGCAAAATTGTACATGTGCTACCAAGAAAAGCATAATAATCGTAATCACATCTGTTAATGTTTTGATACTTGTGATTCAATTCTAATATTACTATTACCGAATCTCATGCGCATTGTACATATTCCTGTTATCTATACGCATTGCGCTATTCTATTTTCCATCGAATGTAAATTATAATTATATACTACATCTATAACTTATTGGAGAGAATGTGGGTTCATTATCTTCTCGATTTCTAGTAAAGCTTCTCTACTTCCGTAGTGCATTATGGCCCAATTGAAGCCATAATCCTGATTACAGGAACTATAAGTTCAAAACTAACACTAAAAAATTATAAAGAAATAAAATAATAAGGTGAAAAAAGCTTACCACTTTAAACTCCCGTTGGACCCTGGACAGAGAGCAAAGCTCCCAGCGCCGCAAATATCAAGAGGGAAAAAGGACTCTCGAGAACTCATAAGAAAGACTGAAAGCTCTCACAAGATTTTATACGCCAAGCAAACACAGGCGGAGAACGGTAACGTACCCTCGGTGCGGTTACCGCCTGAGTTTTAATGCACCACGTGGTGCCGTTAAAAACACCTCGCGACCCAGAGCGGAAGATTCTCAGTGTTACGAGCGAGTGTAATAAGAGACTCGATCGTCAGCAGCTCGTGGTCCACGAGGCGGTAAGCTTACCAAATGATGGGGGCGAATGGACGGCTGGGATTCGCTGTCAGGGTCGCCTTTAGAGTTGAAATTGAGAGGAAATACAATAAGGCGTGATGCAGCACGAGGCGAGGGCGTGAATTATTTTTGGCGTCACGAGATTCATTTTTTATTAAAATGAGGCGAAGGGGACAAATCTTCGAGGCCGGGGATTATTGGAGGTTGTTACCGACCCCGCGGGCAGCATCAGTCCTTTGAGAGAAGATATTGTCGTGGGACCCACTTGATTGTATTGTGGCTCCATTTATTTACGGGGGGTTTGTTTCAGCTTCTTTTTTTGGTATAGCGCGGATTACCAATTCTAGGATGAAAAAAATGAGTTTTTTTTTGAGTTTATGACTTTCATAACCTTTGTTTGATTCAAAATAAATTTTGGGATATTGAATACGTACCCAAATAATAAAAAAACACTCATATATTATATCATTTGTGAAATTCCCTCTTTGAGAGGGGATTTAGGCTAGATTTCAAATTCTAAAATTTGTAATGCTACAATTTGAGTTTGAAACAAACAAAATACATTCTAAAATTTGTAATGCTACAATTTGAGTTTGAAACAAACAAAATACAAATTATAGGATTACATATCCCAAAATATTGATGAAACAAACAACAGTGAGTTTGAAACAAACAAAATACAAATTATAGGATTACATATCCCAAAATATTGATGAAACAAACAACAGTTTAGAAATCTCAATCCATGTTAAAAAAACTTATGGATTTCAAATCCCATGGTGAAATTCATATCCTAAAATTATAGGATTTGAAACAAACACCCCCTAGCAGTGCACATGGAGCTGACGATATGACATGCTGCAAACGAATGTAACAAGATAAGATACGTAAGATAGAACGGTGAATGTACAAATCAAAAAATTATGGCAACTTTAGAAATTTCATGCATGTAAAATATAATAACGTAACACACGGTTAAGACTTATTGCTATGGCGAAGGACTAACAACCGTACACGTCATTAACCTACACAGAAATTGATTTTAGTGCATTATTTCTTGCCAAGAAGAACGTCTACAACAGCATAATAAATGAGCCATTGCTATTTTCCATTCCGTGAAGTTGTGGTTACAGGACTATCAACGCTCTGACACGTGGCTCCTCTAAATGTCTTTTATACAAACTAACACCACTGACGTATCAAAGCTCATACATCATACATATACTAATATACACGACATTATACTCCCAGCGAACACGCCTAACAGTGACCCTTGATTGATAGCCCTCTTCATCGTTAGCAAGCACATATACAACTGCACAAGTATCCAGTCTAACTTCCCGGCCATCCTGCAACATTTTGGACCGACTTCTCTGCTTCCTAAGCCAGGATATCTAAGGGAAAAAAAACAAGACAAATCACAAATTAATTCAAATCTGAACTAGCAAAAACCGAACAATACATAAATCTCACCAAAACGGCCATTTTGGCCGTTTTGACCGTTTTGCCCCCCAAAAAGGTCAAAAAGGGTAAAAAAATAAGGGTATTTCCGTCATTTGTCTAGTGGCTGCCTCTATAAGTAAATGGGTTTTTTTTATTTATTTTCCTCATCCAAAACTCATCTACTTCTGTCTAATACTCTCTTATACACTCTTATACTCTCTAATAATCGCTTTACCTCTCTATTTTTTCAGTCAAATGACTTCCGGATCTGATTATGAAGAGCAAAACCTAACTCTCGAAATGAGTCCTCTTACTACAGCTACTCCTACCTATCCTACCAATATTGATCCCGAAACCGGTGGCGACGATTCTATTGTAATTTTTATTTCTTAGCTGAAAATTTGTAATGAATTATTTTAGAAACAATTGCAAATGATAGTGATATAGGTGAGTAGGTGCCAACCTAGTTGGGATGTACTCATCTATTGTGATGCGACGAATTCCGAAATAAATTTATACTTGTAAAAGATTTACTAATTATTAATAAAGAAGTTATTTTTATCATCTGTCATTTTTAAAGTTTTTTGTATTTGTAATTTATGTAATTTCAAATGATTAATAATCTTATTGTTTTTATTAAAATTTTGTGTAATTTTTTATGTATTATTGAAATTTTAAAGAGATAAAAAAATTTTGTTTTTATTAAAATTTTGTGTAATTTTTTATGTATTATTGAAATTTTAAAGAGATAAAAAAATTTGAGAAACAAAAAAAATCGGGTCAGCCCGGAGATCGGCCCGCTCAGGCACGAATCTGAGTTCTGGTTTTGCCCGACCCGGGCCACCCCTCATGGACACCCCTACCCATAAGCCAACAATGAAGATGAAATAGCAGTTTACAACTAATGTGCAAACAATCCAAGCTTACATGACCAAAATGACTATCAGATTGCAAACGTCATTTGCTACCCTTAGGGTGTCCAAATGGGCCTCCGGCCCGAAAACCCGGGCCAAACCGGGTTTC